GATGTCATCCAATCTACTCAAGCTGAAGAGCAGCAAAACGGAGCTAATGGTAGTGGCTCCCAAGACGCTGCTCCTGAGGGTAGGTGATCTACTCCTCAAAGTGGATGGTTGCTCCATCTCTCCATCCCAAGAAGTCCGCAACCTTGGTGTCATCTTGGACTCCACCCTTTCCTTCCAGTCACATGTCAAAATTATTACCAAATCTGCTTTCTACCACCTCAAAAACATCTCCAGACTTTGATCATCACTCTCAGACTCTGTGGCAGAGTCTCTCATCCATGCTTTCATCACCTCCCGCCTGGACTACTGTAACGGTGTCCTGTATGGGGTACCCAGCAAGGTCCTGGACAGGCTACAATATGTCCAGAACTCGGCTGCCAGGGTTCTCACCCCACACACACACTAGGTCGTGGCAGCACATCACCCCAATCCTCACTCAGCTTCACTGGCTGCCGGTCAAATTCCGCATCACCTACAAAATCCTACTCCCCACCTATAAATCTCTCCATGCCACTGCCCCCCAGTACCTACTGGGCCTTCTCCACTCCTACTCCCCCTCACGGAACCTGCGGTCCCCCGACAAGGGCCTGCTCTCTGTCCCCCACACCAGACTGCGGACTTTTCGGGACAGAGGCTTCAGTGTCGCAGCCCCCACCCTCTGGAAGTCCATCCCCACAGAGATCCGAAATGCTCCCTCTCTGGACACCTTCAAAAAACTCCTAAAAATCCAGCTCTTCACAAATTCAACCCTGAATGACCTTTTATTGCTCTGTCTCTGCAATTATATGTAAAGCGTCCTTGGGGTCTCGTGAAAGGCGCTATATAAATACAAGTTATTGTTATTATTATCATTATTATTATTATCCCTGCTCCCCTCATCCCTTCATCCCCTCATCCTTCCATCCCTGCTCCCCTCATCCCTTCATCCCCGCTCCCCTCCTCCACTTATCCCTTCCTTCCCAATCAGGTGCACAGCTCTCTCATGTCTCATCTAGGGACCGTCTGGGGGGGCTTGAAATAAACTCAGGTGAAAAACACTTCCAAGACAGAACCCCAAAACGGAGTCTCCTCCACCCGGTTTCTGTACACCCTCCCAGACCAGCCTAAAGAGAGGACATCCTTCTTCCACCATCATCCTTCCCCTCTATATGCATTAATCCATCCTCCATAATCAATGCATTCCAAATTTGCATGTACTGCACATGTACAATGTGCTTGTGAAAAAGAAGGGAGTGCGTGCCTTCTTCTGTGCTGGCTGGAAGATGATGACATGCTGCTTTAGTGCATCCACTAAGGGCTGAATCTCAGCAATCTCTCTACAATAAGTTTTAAATACTGTCTGGCTGCCATGCCTCGATTTTGAGAATCTGGCTTGTTTAATTACAATAAAAATCCATGGATTACTTTTATTTCAGCATTTATTCATTTAGTCTTTTTAGTGTTTGTCTGTTTGATTGAATAACAAAACTAAATCTATACCATTAAGTCTGAACCAGAGCTGGAAGACAAGTTGCCAGTGCTGAGCTTAGCAAACTACGTGTGAACCAGTGGTAGTTCAACATGGCACCTCATGGTAAAGGACTCTGAGGATCTGAAAAAAAGAAATTGCTGCTCTACATAAAGATAGCCTAGGCTATAAGGCAAGGCAAGTTTATTTGTATAGCACATTTCAACAACAAGGTCATTCAAAGTGCTTTACATAAAACATAAAAGCCACAGGGAAATATAAAAAAAAAAGTTTAAAAGCAGCATAGGGAAATTTCAAAAAATACACATTAAAAGTTACAGTGCAGTGTACAATCAGGGTTAAAAGAGTTAAATGGAAAATAAAATACTGGAATGTTTGACTGTTCAAGAAGATTGCCAAGATCCTGAAACTGAGCTGCAGCACGGTGGCCAAGACCACACAGCGGTTCAACAGAACGGGTTCAACAAAGAACAAGGCTCACCCTGATCAACCAGTAGAAGTTGAGTGCACATGTGTTACATCACATCAGACAACAGCGGCATTAGTGGTGTAGGAAAACCTTCATTTTTATTTCTTCACCGGCAGGACTGGCAAAACATACACAAACTGTCCGTCAAGCAGCACCGGGAACACACACACTCTTAATCCGACCAGGGCTACGTCTAATAACTGCCACTTCTTCTAATGTGGCTTTCTGACATATTGAGGGGATGAGGGGAGCAGGGGGAGCAGGGATGATGGGAGCAGGCAGCAACATCGATTTTGATGCATTGTTTTTTTTTGTAGTGTCACATTTTAAGAAACTCACATTTGTCCCTACAAAAAATGGCTTCTTCACAAAATCTGCTGTATAAATATCATACATTAATATTTTTTTCCACTTTAAACGAGTCAATATTTCAAAGCTACTTCAGCCTGAAATATACATATCGAATATTATGTTTGGGGGATCCCTTTAAATGTCACTATGTTTAAATAACGCCACGATGACGGGCAGCAACATTGCTTTTGATGCATTTATGCATCTTTTCTGCAGTCGCAGTTTAAAGTTCATAATCTTAGCTTACAAAGACATATGATCATTTCCAGATCCTCCTGTGTGCCGTCTCCTCCTCCACTACTGCTCATACTATCAGGTACACCTGTTCAATTGTTTATCGACACAAATAGCTGGTCAGCCAATCACATGGCTGCAACTTAATGCATTTAGGCACAAAGATGTCAAGACAACTTGCTGAAGTTGTGCATCAGAATGGGGAAGAAAGGAGATTTCACCACATGTATCTGATCTTCCCAATATGAGTGTAATTTGCCTGGTCCTCTACGCTCTGACATATTCACAAGGACACGGTCATCTGGAGAAAGCACTGAGCTCTGCCTCTGATCATAGTATATTTTTCCTCTTGTCCTAGTCTTTGTAATGGTTCTGGTTGCAATATCATTTGCTTCTTTCATTGAATTACGTCCTTCTCTTCATCAATCCTAAAGATCAAGTCAATTGGCAAATGGGGCTTTCAACCAAAAACAAAAAGAAAACAGAGTATTCTGTTGCCTTGCTGGTGGTGCAGTTGTAAGCATGTACACTTTATTCACATAGTCACTCCAATTTCCCTTTTACTCCTCATCCAAGGTCCGCAGCATCGATAACAAGGTGCGATTAAATCTTTGGCTGGGTTCCCTTGTGTTTTGGAGTTGGCCACACCAGTGTACTTTTGCAACTGTCTGAATTACTGGTTCTCAAATTATTTTCCTTGATCGTGATGTATTTTAGCAGGGAAGCCAAATTTGAAAGTTTGAAATTTCAAAGTCATTCAAAATTTTATCTGATTTGTTACGGGTTGGGTAGGCTTGGGCAAATTTAATGAAGTTGTCAATCACTAAGCAGTAAGCCTCTTCTAAAGATGATGCACAAGAAAGCCCGCAAACAGTTTGCTGAAGACAAGCAGACTAAGGACATGGATTACTGGAACCATGTGCTGTGGTCTGATGAGACCAAGGTAAATTTATTTGGTTCAGATGGTTTCAAGCATGTGTGGCGGCAACCAGGTGAGGAGTACAAAGACAAGTGTGTCTTGCCTACAGTCAAGCATGGTGGTGGGAGGGTCATGGTCTGGGGCCAGGGCTGGACGCACCTTTGGGGCCAGTGTGACGTAAATTATGTATTTATATAACTGTTTTTAAAAATGAGCCTACGATTTTCTATACTGACACTGGGCCGGTCCAATCACATCTCTTACTAGCCCCCACCCCCTCTGCTCACTGTTTCTTGCGCTACGGCTGCCGCCAAATGCGCGAAAATAACCGCGTTAGTGAGTGACAAAGTGACAGGGCTGAGGGAGAGAGAGAGCAGGAAGAGAGTGGAGGTGAAGCGGTAAACATGGAGTAGCTCAGCCTGTAGGGAGGGAGGGTCATTTACACTGGGGACATGTAGGCTACCCACCACTTTTAGAAAGCATTTGTTAAAAATATTCCTGAAAAATAGCTTGAACCAAGAAATGTTAATTAACAAATAAAAATGCTATGAAAAAGGTTTATTTGCACAATAAGCTTGCAATGCAATTTAAATATAGAAGAAACTGTGTTGTCCAAAAAAAGTAACTTAAGTAAAAACAATAATAAGCTACTGATTACTGCATTATATTATATTTTTATGTTCTGAATTGTCACCTGCCACCAATCCTGCCCCAATCTTGTGCAACGTCTTGTTTCGTCACACACTTGATCTAAGCCCTTAAATGGAAGGATGGTGTATTGGTGAGGGGTGTCTGACCGATTTTGGTGGGCCGCCTGAGACAAAAATGCCAGGGCCAATTTTTTTTGTCCCAGTGCAGCTCTGTCTGGGGCTGCACATTTCTGTGACTGAGAAGTACTTTTTGGCAAACAAAACATATTTATTCATACATAGACCATAAGACATTGAATATTCCTTACTCAGTGCAATTAAAATGTTTTAGGGTTAGTTTTGTATTTTGTTACCTTCATCAGGTGTGACCAAATTGTTACATTCATTCATAAGCTGACGCTTTTATCCAAAGAAATTTTGAATTGCAATTTATGTCAAAGGTTGCAAGCCTCTGGAGCAACTAGGACTTAAGCGTCTTGCTCAGGGAAATATTGGTGGACGTGTCACAGCGGGAGTTGAACCTGTGTCTCTCACACCAAAGGCATGTGTCTTATCCACTGCTCCATCACCACCCCTTACCACTCTTCCAATACTGACTTTTAGTTTCAAAATTGATTTCGTAATCGTTATTGTAATTTTCACACATACATTAAAGTCAATAGGACCTTTAACAATAAAAAAGTAAAGCAATCACAGAAAGTGCTCAGGAATAGTAATTTGAACAGTGGGTATTTAACATGCAGTTGTGTCTAATTGATGTTTTTAAAATTTTTCAATGGCAAAAAAGTTATACACTTGTTAGTAGGATCAATTCATTGTTGGTTTTCGGTCTTTTAATGTGATTTATCGACAATAAGATAGATAAAGAGTATTCCCGGCCAATCCTTTTAACTCAAGCTTAAACATATTCCGACAATGATTTCTAAATGGTAAATAATATAACCATTTGTCTGTAATCAGCAGCCACTTGACAGTTTGTGGTATTTAAGACTCTTAAATTCCTGTCAGAGATGCATTTGTGATGAAAATACAAGGGGCTTAGTGAAAGCTAATAGGACACTCATTTTGGTTGCTGATTCCCTAATTTGCATATTAGTTCCATGCTTTGCTTTGTTGTGTTCTGTGAAGGAACCTTCACCATTATTATCGTGTTGATGTCACCTAGTTCTACATTCCGTACACTGTGAATTTGAGGTGCTTTTGTAGATTCTCCATCACTTGGTGTCTGAAAGCTCAGCTATCCAGTCCCTCTGAAAAGACAGTTGTTCACTTGTTCACTGCGTTCAGCAAAATTGTTTATTCAAACCTGTTCAAAACTCAAACATGGAAGCCCACATCATTTTTCAACAAGTCCAAAAGATGAGACCATCCTGCTTCTCTGTAGAAGAGCAATGTTGCTACAAAGCAGAGGTAAGTTCCTGTACATGTAAAAGTGCACTGTTCATTATTTATGTTACATTGCATAATATGGTGTTTCTGTGAGCTGTTAAACTGTACTGTACCGAATCTGTGTTGCAGAAAATGATGCTGAGGCAGTTTATGCTCTTGAAGCAGCGGGGGCAAGTTCCACGTTATTTATCTGTCAGAGACATGAAGACCTGGCTGTTGAGAGGAAGAAGCTTCCTGGAGGAGTGAGTCAAACTGATCATTGGTTTAACTGTTACACTGGCAGAAACACGTTAAATTAGAGCATTTTAAAATACAGTGTTTTTTATTTTTGCAGGTTTCTGGAAACAAATGAGAGTACTGGGGAAAGGGACCTGTTCATGGCTGAATTGGTACGTAAAATATAGAGGATCTAGAGACTTGAGAGCAATATTTTAATGTTAACTGTTTAGTTTCATGTAAAAATAGTCTACTGTCAGCTCCATTATGCTCCTGGTGTGACTAAAAAGTGTGTTGTTGACAGGCCTGGACCACAGCGAGGCACTTCTGTCTCGCTCAGATGGAAGAAGAGCTCCTGGAGGAACTGAACAAAGAAAAGCAGCTTTCACAGCTGTTGAGCAGGGAGGTCACACTGGAGGGCCTTGAGATGTTTGTCTCAGTCGTCCACCCAGCAGCAGAGGAGGATGTAAAAACCTTCCTTCCATCTATGCACGCCAAACTGCTAAGAATTTTCGGAGGCATTCAGATCAACAGCGGTCCACTCTCTGAAGGGGACACAAAACCAGCAGAGCTCTTGGAGCTTGAACAGAGTGCTGCGTCCCTGGTGCCAGAGGTGGTGGACATTGCTCTCAAGTTCCTCCTGGAGGAACCAGAGCTAAAAGACAAATGTAAACTTGCCAGTGCTGAGATTGGCAAACTTCTGACTAACTCAGCAGCTCCTTGCCTTTCTCAGTTTGGATCTGTGTCAAGAACTGTTGTGCTTAGCGTCTGCACTAGAGCTGCCCGATCCATTGTGAAAGCCATCTTTGAGAGGTTCGACCAGCGCTCCAAGTCCTTCCACCAGATGGACTATGATGAGAGTGATTTCTCTGCCGGATACGGTGCCATCTTTGCTATCCAGGAAATGGTCAAAGAAAAGTACCTTCGGCTCTTCGCCTCAGAGGAGCAGGAAGGGGCACTTCTTGAGAAGAGAGAGGTTTCTCCACAAGTGCATGAAAATATGGCCACTGCTCCAAACGATGTGACCGAGGACACAGTCTTGGTCAAATCGGGTACCAGTGTGGCTGTGTTCATGGCTGATGAGCCGGAAGAACTGCAGCAGGAAGATGTGAAGGAATCGCACACAGAAGAAACCCTGGTTCAGGACACTGCCATCCAGAACATGGACCACGGAGTGCGAACAGATACATCCACCCACAGTCACGCTGGCCTCTGGAGTTCAGAGAGACTGGATGACCAACTACTGGAGAAGAAGGAAACCTCCCAAGGAGTCCCTGGGGATGAAGAGTTGGCCATTATGCAATATCATTTGACTGAGGTATCATCGTCAGTCAAGTTCGAGGAGATCAAGGTGAAGAAGCAGTTGTCAGTGTGAGAGAAAGAAGGGAGTGCGTGCCTTCTTCCGTGGTGTGTGGAAGATGATGACATGCTGCTTTAGTGTATCCACAATGGACTAAAGCATTGTGCATGCACCTTGCTCCCTTCACCCTGTTCCCCTCATCCCTGCTCCCCTCATCCCTGCTTCCCTCATCCCTGCTTCCCTCATCCCTGCTTCCATCATCCCTGCTCCCCTCATCCCTGCTTCCCTCATCCCTGCTCCCCCTGCTCCCCTCATCCCTTCACCTCCTTCTCCCTTCTGGATGCAGCTCAAGTTCATCAAGTTGGTTACCAGAGCCAATATCCCCACTTGTTCAGTGGACCCCATGCCTACTATCATGGTCAAGGCATGCCTCTCTAACCTCTGTCCCATCACAGTGGACATCATAAACACTTCTCTGGTATCTGGCTCGGTACCCTCCTGCTTCAAAACAGCTGCCGTTACTCCTATTCTCAAAAAGCCCAGTTTGGACCCGGATGACCTCAACAACTACCGTCCGATCTCCAACCTTCCCTTCATGAGCAAAATTGTGGAAAGAGCAGTTGCCGCCCAACTTCATCAACACATGTCCCACTATGATCCCTATGAAACCTTCAGTCTGGCTTCAGAGCACATCACAGCACTGAGACCGCCCTCATCAAAATCACTAAGTTCCCCTCATCCCTTCATCCTACTCCCCTATCCCTTCACCCTTCTGGATGCAGCTCAAGTTCGTCAAGTTGGTTACCAGAGCCAAGATCTCCACTTGTTCAGTGGACCCCATGCCTACTATCATGGTCAAGGCATGCCTCTCTAACCTCTGTCCCATCACAGTGGGAATCATAAACACTTCTCTGGTATCTGGCTCGGTACCCTCCTGCTTCAAAACAGCTGCCGTTACTCCTATTCTCAAAAAGCCCAGTTTGGACACGGATGACCTCAACAACTACCGTCCGATCTCCAACCTTCCCTTCATGGTCTCAGTTTCCACTGTTATGCTGATGACACAGCTGTATATCAGCACCAAACCATCCACTCAGCTTCCCCCTCTGTCACTTGTTAACTGTTTGAAATAAAAACCTGGATGTCATCCAATCTACTCAAGCTGAAGAGCAGCAAAACGGAGCTAATGGTAGTGGCTCCCAAGACGCTGCTCCTGAGGGTAGGTGATCTACTCCTCAAAGTGGATGGTTGCTCCATCTCTCCATCCCAAGAAGTCCGCAACCTTGGTGTCATCTTGGACTCCACCCTTTCCTTCCAGTCACATGTCAAAATTATTACCAAATCTGCTTTCTACCACCTCAAAAACATCTCCAGACTTTGATCATCACTCTCAGACTCTGTGGCAGAGTCTCTCATCCATGCTTTCATCACCTCCCGCCTGGACTACTGTAACGGTGTCCTGTATGGGGTACCCAGCAAGGTCCTGGACAGGCTACAATATGTCCAGAACTCGGCTGCCAGGGTTCTCACCCACACACACACACTAGGTCGTGGCAGCACATCACCCCAATCCTCACTCAGCTTCACTGGCTGCCGGTCAAATTCCGCATCACCTACAAAATCCTACTCCTCACCTATAAATCTCTCCATGCCACTGCCCCCCAGTACCTACTGGGCCTTCTCCACTCCTACTCCCCCTCACGGAACCTGCGGTCCCCCGACAAGGGCCTGCTCTCTGTCCCCCACACCAGACTGCGGACTTTTCGGGATAGAGGCTTCAGTGTCGCAGCCCCCACCCTCTGGAAGTCCATCCCCACAGAGATACGAAATGCTCCCTTCTGGACACCTTCAAAAAACCCCTAAAAATCCAGCTCTTCACAAATTCAACCCTGAATGACCTTTTATTGCTCTGTCTCTGCAATTATATGTAAAGCGTCCTTGGGGTCTCGTGAAAGGCGCTATATAAATACAAGTTATTGTTATTATCATTATTATTATTATTATCCCTGCTCCCCTCATCCCTTCATCCCCTCATCCTTCCATCCCTGCTCCCCTCATCCCTTCATCCCCGCTCCCCTCCTCCACTTATCCCTTCCTTCCCAATCAGGAGCACAGCTCTCTCATGTCTCATCTAGGGACCGTCTGGGGGGGCTTGAAATAAACTCAGGTGAAAAACACTTCCAAGACAGAACCCCAAAACGGAGTCTCCTCCACCCGGTTTCTGTACACCCTCCCAGACCAGCCTAAAGAGAGGACATCCTTCTTCCACCATCATCCTTCCCCTCTATATGCATTAATCCATCCTCCATAATCAATGCATTCCAAATTTGCATGTACTGCACATGTACAATGTGCTTGTGAAAAAGAAGGGAGTGCGTGCCTTCTTCTGTGCTGGCTGGAAGATGATGACATGCTGCTTTAGTGCATCCACTAAGGGCTGAATCTCAGCAATCTCTCTACAATAAGTTTTAAATACTGTCTGGCTGCCATGCCTCGATTTTGAGAATCTGGCTTGTTTAATTACAATAAAAATCCATGGATTACTTTTATTTCAGCATTTATTCATTTAGTCTTTTTAGTGTTTGTCTGTTTGATTGAATAACAAAACTAAATCTATACCATTAAGTCTGAACCAGAGCTGGAAGATAAGTTGCCAGTGCTGAGCTTAGCAAACTACGTGTGAACCAGTGGTAGTTCAACATGGCACCTCATGGTAAAGGACTCTGAGGATCTGAAAAAAAGAAATTGCTGCTCTACATAAAGATAGCCTAGGCTATAAGGCAAGGCAAGTTTATTTGTATAGCACATTTCAACAACAAGGTCATTCAAAGTGCTTTACATAAAACATAAAAGCCACAGGGAAATATAAAAAAAAGTTTAAAAGCAGCATAGGGAAATTTCAAAAAATACACATTAAAAGTTACAGTGCAGTGTACAATCAGGGTTAAGAGTTAAATGGAAAATAAAATACTGGAATGTTTGACTGTTCAAGAAGATTGCCAAGATCCTGAAACTGAGCTGCAGCACGGTGGCCAAGACCACACAGCGGTTCAACAGAACGGGTTCCACAAAGAACAAGGCTCACCCTGATCAACCAGTAGAAGTTGAGTGCACATGTGTTACATCACATCAGACAACAGCGGCATTAGTGGTGTAGGAAAACCTTCATTTTTATTTCTTCACCGGCAGGACTGGCAAAACATACACAAACTGTCCGTCAAGCAGCACCGGGAACACACACACTCTTAATCCGACCAGGGCTACGTCTAATAACTGCCACTTCTTCTAATGTGGCTTTCTGACATATTGAGGGGATGAGGGGAGCAGGGGGAGCAGGGATGATGGGAGCAGGCAGCAACATCGATTTTGATGCATTGTTTTTTTTTGTAGTGTCACATTTTAAGAAACTCACATTTGTCCCTACAAAAAATGGCTTCTTCACAAAATCTGCTGTATAAATATCATACATTAATATTTTTTTCCACTTTAAACGAGTCAATATTTCAAAGCTACTTCAGCCTGAAATATACATATCGAATATTATGTTTGGGGGATCCCTTTAAATGTCACTATGTTTAAATAACGCCACGATGACGGGCAGCAACATTGCTTTTGATGCATTTATGCATCTTTTCTGCAGTCGCAGTTTAAAGTTCATAATCTTAGCTTACAAAGACATATGATCATTTCCAGATCCTCCTGTGTGCCGTCTCCTCCTCCACTACTGCTCATACTATCAGGTACACCTGTTCAATTGTTTATCGACACAAATAGCTGGTCAGCCAATCACATGGCTGCAACTTAATGCATTTAGGCACAAAGATGTCAAGACAACTTGCTGAAGTTGTGCATCAGAATGGGGAAGAAAGGAGATTTCACCACATGTATCTGATCTTCCCAATATGAGTGTAATTTGCCTGGTCCTCTACGCTCTGACATATTCACAAGGACACGGTCATCTGGAGAAAGCACTGAGCTCTGCCTCTGATCATAGTATATTTTTCCTCTTGTCCTAGTCTTTGTAATGGTTCTGGTTGCAATATCATTTGCTTCTTTCATTGAATTACGTCCTTCTCTTCATCAATCCTAAAGATCAAGTCAATTGGCAAATGGGGCTTTCAACCAAAACAAAAAGAAACAGAGTATTCTGTTGCCTTGCTGGTGGTGCAGTTGTAAGCATGTACACTTTATTCACATAGTCACTCCAATTTCCCTTTTACTCCTCATCCAAGGTCCGCAGCATCGATAACAAGGTGCGATTAAATCTTTGGCTGGGTTCCCTTGTGTTTTGGAGTTGGCCACACCAGTGTACTTTTGCAACTGTCTGAATTACTGGTTCTCAAATTATTTTCCTTGATCGTGATGTATTTTAGCAGGGAAGCCAAATTTGAAAGTTTGAAATTTCAAAGTCATTCAAAATTTTATCTGATTTGTTACGGGTTGGGTAGGCTTGGGCAAATTTAATGAAGTTGTCAATCACTAAGCAGTAAGCCTCTTCTAAAGATGATGCACAAGAAAGCCCGCAAACAGTTTGCTGAAGACAAGCAGACTAAGGACATGGATTACTGGAACCATGTGCTGTGGTCTGATGAGACCAAGGTAAATTTATTTGGTTCAGATGGTTTCAAGCATGTGTGGCGGCAACCAGGTGAGGAGTACAAAGACAAGTGTGTCTTGCCTACAGTCAAGCATGGTGGTGGGAGGGTCATGGTCTGGGGCCAGGGCTGGACGCACCTTTGGGGCCAGTGTGACGTAAATTATGTATTTATATAACTGTTTTTAAAAATGAGCCTACGATTTTCTATACTGACACTGGGCCGGTCCAATTACATCTCTTACTAGCCCCCACCCCCTCTGCTCACTGTTTCTTGCGCTACGGCTGCCGCCAAATGCGCGAAAATAACCGCGTTAGTGAGTGACAAAGTGACAGGGCTGAGGGAGAGAGAGAGCAGGAAGAGAGTGGAGGTGAAGCGGTAAACATGGAGTAGCTCAGCCTGTAGGGAGGGAGGGTCATTTACACTGGGGACATGTAGGCTACCCACCACTTTTAGAAAGCATTTGTTAAAAATATTCCTGAAAAATAGCTTGAACCAAGAAATGTTAATTAACAAATAAAAATGCTATGAAAAAGGTTTATTTGCACAATAAGCTTGCAATGCAATTTAAATATAGAAGAAAACTGTGTTGTCCAAAAAAAGTAACTTAAGTAAAAACAATAATAAGCTACTGATTACTGCATTATATTATATTTTATGTTCTGAATTGTCACCTGCCACCAATCCTGCCCCAATCTTGTGCAACGTCTTGTTTCGTCAACACTTATCTAAGCCCTTAAATGGAAGGATGGTGTATTGGTGAGGGGTGTCTGACCGATTTTGGTGGGCCGCCTGGGCCAAAAATGCCAGGGCCAATTTTTTTTGTCCCAGTGCAGCTCTGTCTGGGGCTGCACATTTCTGTGACTGAGAAGTACTTTTTGGCAAACAAAACATATTTATTCATACATAGACCATAAGACATTGAATATTCCTTACTCAGTGCAATTAAAGTGTTTTAGGGTTAGTTTTGTATTTTGTTACCTTCATCAGGTGTGACCAAATTGTTACATTCATTCATAAGCTGACGCTTTTATCCAAAGAAATTTTGAATTGCAATTTATGTCAAAGGTTGCAAGCCTCTGGAGCAACTAGGACTTAAGCGTCTTGCTCAGGGAAATATTGGTGGACGTGTCACAGCGGGGAGTTGAACCTGTGTCTCTCACAACAAAGGCATGCGTCTTATCCACTGCTCCATCACCACCCCTTACCACTCTTCCAATACTGACTTTTAGTTTCAAAATTGATTTCGTAATCGTTATTGTAATTTTCACACATACATTAAAGTCAATAGGACCTTTAACAATAAAAAAGTAAAGCCAATCACAGAAATTGATGTTTTTAAAATTTTTCAATGGCAAAAAAGTTATACACTTGTTAGTAGGATCAATTCATTGTTGGTTTTTGGTCTTTTAATGTGATTTATCGACAATAAGATAGATAAAGAGTATTCCCGGCCTAATCCTTTTAACTCAAGCTTAAACATATTCCGACAATGATTTCTAAATGGTAAATAATATAACCATTTGTCTGTAATCAGCAGCCACTTGACAGTTTGTGGTATTTAAGACTCTTAAATTCTGTCAGAGATGCATTTGTGATGAAAATACAAGGGGCTTAGTGAAAGCTAATAGGACACTCATTTTGGTTGCTGATTCCCTAATTTGCATATTAGTTCCATGCTTTGCTTTGTTGTGTTCTGTGAAGGAACCTTCACCATTATTATCGTGTTGATGTCACCTAGTTCTACATTCCGTACACTGTGAATTTGAGGTGCTTTTGTAGATTCTCCATCACTTGGTGTCTGAAAGCTCAGCTATCCAGTCCCTCTGAAAAGACAGTTGTTCACTTGTTCACTGCGTTCAGCAAAATTGTTTATTCAAACCTGTTCAAAACTCAAACATGGAAGCCCACATCATTTTTCAACAAGTCCAAAAGATGAGACCATCCTGCTTCTCTGTAGAAGAGCAATGTTGCTACAAAGCAGAGGTAAGTTCCTGTACATGTAAAAGTGCACTGTTCATTATTTATGTTACATTGCATAATATGGTGTTTCTGTGAGCTGTTAAACTGTACTGTACCGAATCTGTGTTGCAGAAAATGATGCTGAGGCAGTTTATGCTCTTGAAGCAGCGGGGGCAAGTTCCACGTTATTTATCTGTCAGAGACATGAAGACCTGGCTGTTGAGAGGAAGAAGCTTCCTGGAGGAGTGAGTCAAACTGATCATTGGTTTAACTGTTACACTGGCAGAAACACGTTAAATTAGAGCATTTTAAAATACAGTGTTTTTTATTTTTGCAGGTTTCTGGAAACAAATGAGAGTACTGGGGAAAGGGACCTGTTCATGGCTGAATTGGTACGTAAAATATAGAGGATCTAGAGACTTGAGAGCAATATTTTAATGTTAACTGTTTAGTTTCATGTAAAAATAGTCTACTGTCAGCTCCATTATGCTCCTGGTGTGACTAAAAAGTGTGTTGTTGACAGGCCTGGACAACAGCGAGGCACTTCTGTCTCGCTCAGATGGAAGAAGAGCTCCTGGAGGAACTGAACAAAGAAAAGCAGCTTTCACAGCTGTTGAGCAGGGAGGTCACACTGGAGGGCCTTGAGATGTTTGTCTCAGTCGTCCACCCAGCAGCAGAGGAGGATGTAAAAACCTTCCTTCCATCTATGCACGCCAAACTGCTAAGAATTTTCGGAGGCATTCAGATCAACAGCGGTCCACTCTCTGAAGGGGACACAAAACCAGCAGAGCTCTTGGAGCTTGAACAGAGTGCTGCGTCCCTGGTGCCAGAGGTGGTGGACATTGCTCTCAAGTTCCTCCTGGAGGAACCAGAGCTAAAAGACAAATGTAAACTTGCCAGTGCTGAGATTGGCAAACTTCTGACTAACTCAGCAGCTCCTTGCCTTTCTCAGTTTGGATCTGTGTCAAGAACTGTTGTGCTTAGCATCTGCACTAGAGCTGCCCGATCCATTGTGAAAGCCATCTTTGAGAGGTTCGACCAGCGCTCCAAGTCCTTCCACCAGATGGACTATGATGAGAGTGATTTCTCTGCCAGATACGGTGCCATCTTTGCTATCCAGGAAATGGTCAAAGAAAAGTACCTTCGGCTCTTCGCCTCAGAGGAGCAGGAAGGGGCACTTCTTGAGAAGAGAGAGGTTTCTCCACAAGTGCATGAAAATATGGCCACTGCTCCAAACGATGTGACCGAGGACACAGTCTTGGTCAAATCGGGTACCAGTGTGGCTGTGTTAGTGACTGATGAGCCGGAAGAACTGCAGCAGGAAGATGTGAAGGAATCGCACACAGAAGAAACCCTGGTTCAAGACACTGCCATCCAGAACATGGACCACGGAGTGCGAACAGATACATCCACCCACAGTCACGCTGGCCTCTGGAGTTCAGAGAGACTGGATGACCAACTACTGGAGAAGAAGGAAACCTCCCAAGGAGTCCCTGGGGATGAAGAGTTGGCCATTATGCAATATCATTTGACTGAGGTATCATCGTCAGTCAATCTGCAGGCCAATGTGGCTGTCAACATGATCGAGGAGATTCAAGGACTGCAGCGGGAAGAAGAAAAACAGAAAACCCTTGTCCAGCACTGTGATATGAAGAGAAAGAAGGGAGTGCGTGCCTTCTTCCGTGGTGTGTGGAAGATGATGACATGCTGCTTTAGTGTATCCACAATGGACTAAAGCATTGTGCATGCACCTTGCTCCCTTCACCCTGTTCCCCTCATCCCTGCTCCCCTCATCCCTGCTTCCCTCATCCCTGCTTCCCTCATCCCTGCTTCCATCATCCCTGCTCCCCTCATCCCTGCTTCCATCATCCCTGCTTCCCTCATCCCTGCTTCCCTCATCCCTGCTCCCCTCATCCCTTCACCTCCTTCTCCCTTCTGGATGCAGCTCAAGTTCATCAAATTGGTTACCAGAGCCAATATCTCCACTTGTTCAGTGGACCCCATGCCTACTATCATGGTCAAGGCATGCCTCTCTAACCTCTGTCCCATCACGGTGGACATCATAAACACTTCTCTGGTATCTGGCTCGGTACCCTCCTGCTTCAAAACAGCTGCCATTACTCCTATTCTCAAAAAGCCCAGTTTGGACCCGGATGACCTCAACAACTACCGTCCGATCTCCAACCTTCCCTTCATGGTCTCAGTTTCCACTGTTATGCTGATGACACAGCTGTATATCAGCACCAAACCATCCACTCAGCTTCCCCCTCTGTCACTTGTTAAATGTCTGAAATAAAAACCTGGATGTCATCCAATCTACTCAAGCTGAAGAGCAGCAAAACGGAGCTAATGGTAGTGGCTCCCAAGACGCTGCTCCTGAGGGTAGGTGATCTACTCCTCAAAGTGGATGGTTGCTCCATCTCTCCATCCCAAGAAGTCCGCAACCTTGGTGTCATCTTGGACTCCACCCTTTCCTTCCAGTCACATGTCAAAATTATTACCAAATCTGCTTTCTACCACCTCAAAAACATCTCCAGACTTTGATCATCACTCTCAGACTCTGTGGCAGAGTCTCTCATCCATGCTTTCATCACCTCCCGCCTGGACTACTGTAACGGTGTCCTGTATGGGGTACCCAGCAAGGTCCTGGACAGGCTACAATATGTCCAGAACTCGGCTGCCAGGGTTCTCACCCACACACACACACTAGGTCGTGGCAGCACATCACCCCAATCCTCACTCAGCTTCACTGGCTGCCGATCAAATTCCGCATCACCTACAAAATCCTACTCCTCACCTATAAATCTCTCCATGCCACTGCCCCCCAGTACCTACTGGGCCTTCTCCACTCCTACTCCCCCTCACGGAACCTGCGGTCCCCCGACAAGGGCCTGCTCTCTGTCCCCCACACCAGACTGCGGACTTTTCGGGATAGAGGCTTCAGTGTCGCAGCCCCCACCCTCTGGAAGTCCATACCCACAGAGATCCGAAATGCTCCCTCTCTGGACACCTTCAAAAAACTCCTAAAAACCCAGCTGTTCACAAATTCAACCCTGAATGACCTTTTATTGCTCTGTCTCTGCAATTATGTGTAAAGCGTCCGGGTCTTGTGAAAGGCGCTATATAAATACAAGTTATTGTTATTATTATCATTATTATTATTATCCCTGCTCCCCTCATCCCTTCATCCCCTCATCCTTCCATCCCTGCTCCCCTCATCCCTTCATCCCCGCTCCCCTCCTCCACTTATCCCTTCCTTCCCAATCAGCTGCACAGCTCTCTCATGTCTCATCTAGGGACCGTCTGGGGGGGCTTGAAATAAACTCAGGTGAAAAACACTTCCAAGACAGAACCCCAACACAGAGTCTCCTCCACCCGGTCTTCTGTACACCCTCCCAGACCAGCCTAAAGAGAGGACATCCTTCTTCCACCATCATCCTTCCCCTCTATATGCATTAATCCATCCTCCATAATCAATGCATTCCAAATTTGCATGTACTGCACATGTACAATGTGCTTGTGAAAAAGAAGGGAGTGCGTGCCTTCTTCTGTGCTGGCTGGAAGATGATGACATGCTGCTTTAGTGCATCCACTAAGGGCTGAATCTCAGCAATCTCTCTACAATAAGTTTTAAATACTGTCTGGCTGCCATGCCTCGATTTTGAGAATCTGGCTTGTTTAATTACAATAAAAATCCATGGATTACTTTTATTTCAGCATTTATTCATTTAGTCTTTTTAGTGTTTGTCTGTTTGATTGAATAACAAAACTAAATCTATACCATTAAGTCTGAACCAGAGCTGGAAGACAAGTTGCCAGTGCTGAGCTTAGCAAACTACGTGTGAACCAGTGGTAGTTCAACATGGCACCTCATGGTAAAGGACTCTGAGGATATGAAAAAAAGAAATTGCTGCTCTACATAAAGATAGCCTAGGCTATAAGGCAAGGCAAGTTTATTTGTATAGCACATTTCAACAACAAGGTCATTCAAAGTGCTTTACATAAAACATAAAAGCCACAGGGAAATATAAAAAAGTTTAAAAGCAGCATAGGGAAATTTCAAAAAATACACATTAAAAGTTACAGTGCAGTGTACAATCAGGGTTAAGAGTTAAATGGAAAATAAAATACTGTAATGTTTGACTGTTCAGGAAGATTGCCAAGATCCTGAAACTGAGCTGCAGCACGGTGGTCAAGACCACACAGCGGTTCAACAGAACGGGTTCCACAAAGAACAAGGCTCACCCTGATCAACCAGTAGAAGTTGAGTGCACATGTGTTACATCACATCAGACAACAGCGGCATTAGTGGTGTAGGAAAACCTTCATTTTTATTTCTTCACCGGCAGGACTGGCAAAACATACACAAACTGTCCGTCAAGCAGCACTGGGAACACACACACTCTTAATCCGACCAGGGCTACGTCTAATAACTGCCACTTCTTCTAATGTGGCTTTCTGACATATGTCACAACTTATCCTGTGTCCTACTGGCAAGAAACATTATTGAGCAGTGTAACATTCCAGTTTACAGATTGGTCAATGATTGGCAGCAACATTGATTTTGATGCATTGTTTTTTTTGTAGTGTCACATTTTAAGAAAAACTCACATTTGTCCCTACAAAAAATGGCTTCTTCACAAAAACTGCTATATAAATATCATACATTAATATGGAATATACATATCGAATATTATGTTTGGGGGATTTTAACCCTTTAAATGTCACTATGTTTAAATAACGCCACACATGGAAATGTATCAGGTCACTGAAACCAAACATTTTTGAAAACCCCTGCCAGGGTGAAGATTAAGAAATGCTGGCTGCAGTGTTGTCATGTAGACAGTTTCTGCCTTTCGACGTAAGAGTGCGCACCGTTATCTGCTATGTTTGATGTCAGATTGTGCGCCACTGCCTTCTTTGATTACATTATTTTAGGCTCTGATTGGTCAACATGGCTTTACAGTTAGTCATATTGTCGCCTGGTGGTTTGACATGCTCTTGGCATCGCTTGATATCGTGTTTTCATGTAGACAGATTTTTTTTTTTAAATGGAGGAAAAACTCCGGTTCTCACTCTTAAAGGTATGTACATATGGTTAACATGAATGGTAACATTACAATTATGACAGTTTTAGTCAAGAGCAGTGATATTTTTAGCTACCTACTCATTCAGTCAGTCCTCTATTGTTTGACATGCTTATTCCTCGCTGTTTTAATACTGCGGCTGTGTTTTTATCTGTTTTCTTAATATTATGTGCATTTTTTAGTCGTAAACCTTTTTATTCGTTACTCACTGTGTGTAAAGTATGCTGCACACTTCCTTTCCATTTCAGCATCATTAAATCAGTGATCGACCGTGTGGACTTGCATAGGGTTCAGAATGCTTCAGGAATGATCTGCAATGCTCGTATGCCTCTCTTCTTATGCCTTCCAGAATGGGCATCACCACATCCTGACTGGCCACTAGCTGCTCTCAATCCCTGCTGAGGAGTTAGCGCAACACTCCCTGTGCAACAGGTGCTCTAAATGATCCCTAATCAAGAACTACAGTAGTGGAGACTCGGCCAAACTAATGAGAAATAAAAATTTAAATACCAGAAAATTCATACAGACTTCTACAATCTTTTCAGTCAAAATTTTACAAAATATCTAAGAGAGAGTAGGTGCGATCGACCTGAGGTTGGTTCTTCGTGTTGTGTGAACAACTCTTCTCCTCACCAAAGTGTATCTCAGCACCTTTACTTAGTTTAGATGGCAGTTTCGTGTCTCTTCTCTGTAAGAGGATCACAGCCGCTTGTCTCAAACTACTAGTGTAGGTTTCAGCGTTTCTGGTTTGTAGCTTAAATTCTGACTCTGCTGTGCAAAATAGGATCTGGTTACTTCGAGATAACTGTTCTTTTCCTCTGCAGTCTCTTAGTTTTGTCTATCATCTCTAAGGAGTTAACACACTCACATATATACACTTTCCACTCCTGTGCCTCCATCCATCTATCCATCGATGCAGCTGACTGATGAATCCATCCCATCATTCATCTCACTTGTCATTTTCCTCCCTCTCACGATTTCCTGTATTTGTTTCCCTTAAAAAAAAATAGTTGTCACAAGATCCAGATTTTTCCTCCTTCTGAAGATAGCCTACTTGCTGGATCACAAAGCCATTCATAGGATCAAAAACGGACACCAGGTAGATTTGGTGCACCTAACACACATTGCAGACAACAAGTTAAAGCGTCCATTATCTTTGACTCCCATTTCAAATAAAAAGAGAATGCCATTAGCTGCACAGGAATATCCTCCCAATGTATAGACACTAGTGGTGGTGAAGTAGTGAAGAGCAACAGCTGAAGATCTGGATGGATGAGAAGTATGAACTTGAAACCTCCAGCTGAGGACAGTGTGGAGGACTGTGGGTTTTAGCAGCAGTCACAATCACTGTCTCCTGGAAATGTTTATGTATAATTCATTTGCAACAGCATATATGTTTAGAAAGGAAACACAATGCCGGTCAGATGACATTATAAACAAAACAAACACGAAATTTCAAGAAAGGAAATGTTCTTATACCCGTTTCCTTATCAAACTGAAATATACAACCTTCTGAATTCAAAATTTCTCTCTTTCACCAAACTAATCGCCTTGTTAACTTCGTACAACACACTTCATGCAAACTCCACAGAAACAAAACTGTCATGTTTAGTCTTTGGTTTAGTTTCCACTTTCACAATCACCAGTTCTGGTTTGGTGGAAACAAACCTTTAATTCACTGAGTTAGAGGTGAAAACATTCTGGCCCTAAATGCTGTCACTGCTGCTCGCTCATCTTGCACTTGAGACCTCTCCTGTCCCCGCCTGAACCCGCCGTCATCCCCGGAGTCAGAGTCATGATCAGAGCCGCTGTAAATCACCTCAGTACTTTATTCCCTGTCATCAAACTGGCCTCTGTTGGTCTCTAGGGCCCACCGTATGTTCTCTTATATGCTTGGAAGGGGAGGGTGAGGGATAGGATAATCAGTTTGTTGTAATCTGACACCTCAACTCTAGATGCCACTAAATCCTGCACAGTGGTCCCTTAAAACAGACCGGTGTCGATGCATTGTTTCAGCTCATGGTCAATCTTGAGCTGACACTAAAGGATTACCCCTACTCAAGCACAAGTCCTCCTCTTGAGAAGCTGAATAAATGAGTGAAGTCAGAGCGAGTTGAGACGAGATGGGGCAGCAGGTGGTGAAGCCGTTCAAGTCCCATTTCACCTGTGAAAGAGCTCATCTGTATCCCATGAAAGCAGGAGCAGGTGTGAAATGAAACTATGACTTCAGTGATTTGAAGTACAAGCACGAGCCTGTTATGCCGCTCCGCTCTCTGAAGGAAGTCTACGTGGCTGGACTGATTGCTGGAGTTCACAGTGTTCACTTCACAACTATCTTATTATGTGGCAGGTTAAGGTGTCAGACTCACCGTGCCCTGAAGTAGAAAGACATAGCTGAGATACAGTTGCACAAATGCAAAGCCATCAGCAAAATAAAATGATTGACTGAGCAAAACAAGAGTGCATTAAAGGAACATCTGGTACATGACCCTCTGCTGGCCACAACAAGGTACTGCAGCATCTTCTTATCTTGGATTTATGGCTTCACGTCTTTGCTGGCCTGTTGTTGACACTATATCCAATACCGTAAGCTGCACTAATGAACATTTTTATGTTTTTGTCATTCAGCCAGTCAGACTGAAAAATCTCATTAAGTGCTGTGCAATTTGAACAAAAATTCATGTTAAAGAAATACTTTGATAGCGGTGCTGAAATGGATGAATAGATGATAACAGCAGTTACTCACATAATGACTTCCTCTTTTGTGGTTTTGCTTACAAAATAAAAGCTTAAAGCTTAAATAAAAGAATCTGCTGCCTGCTTGACACACCTCTGAAAGAGCAGTCTGAAAACGAGATTCCCCTAAATGTCCTCTGCCTGGAGATACTGGGGAAATGAAAAGGCGTCCGTAGGTTGATGGATGAGGATCAAACAACGAAACAAAAACAGTGCAGCACATGCCGTGATCTATGAAACATTCCCTGCAGAATCCATTTGTTGAAGAGAGAAAAAAAAAATAATTTATCTCAAGATGGGATCAAACCCTCAACTCTTGAATTGTGAGTCCTGCACCTTGCCAACTGAACTAACCAACTACCATGTTGATGCATGTCAATATTATGAGTAATATTCTCATTCACTTTAGAAATTCTAAATATTCACAACAATACGAGTTTAAACTTTAAATTACTTACAAAAAAACTGTGGTCTGCAACATTAGAACCTGCCAGTTTAGTCCACTGCGATGATGTATTTTTTCTCCGTCAGCTACTTGTGGTGCAGCGCCGTGCTGCCTTCACGGGAACGGGAAGTAAGAGTATCCTCTGGCGTTTACTGTGTAAACTCTGGAAAATTGACGCTTTCTTTCTTGGTATTACCGTGGAAAAGTGTTTACACATTTACAAGAGGGATATTCCGCTGTCGGAGTTACCCTGAAAGCAATTTCGCTGCAACACCAACAAGCGACGTGGACCCACCTTGCGCTGTGAGTCGCAGATAGTTTGTGCCAAAAGGACATATGTTTCAGTAGGCAATAAATGTAACGTTAAAAAACTGAAGCCCTGACTTGCTCTGTTAGGGATTGTAAGCGGCACTTTATCAGAGGTGCTGAAGTTAACGTGTTAACTTTTGTCCTAAGATTTCTGCCTGATCATAGGTGCACCTCCTGGTTTCATCCAGTTCTGTGTCGGTCTGTGCCAGTTGTATGACGGTCGAGGGGATACTTCCAGCGATCAGTATCGTAATGCAGTATAGGGCATGTAGTAAAATATTATGAATTCTCTGTAAATAGGCTAATGACGTTGGTCTCGTAATATTACGACTTTTTATTTACGTGTCAGAGAACACAGATAGGCCTATGTGGGAGAATGTGCAAAAAGTTTTTAACATGAGCAGATAAATTACAGTGCTTCCCATACTTATTTGTGGGGCCCTCCACATATCAACACTCACCGCCACATATTGATTTTCGATCACCTCCTCTCACTCGTCCCTCGCTCTCTCTCTCTCATGAACACCGTTCCACAAATCTGTCCAACACAAAACTTGCAATGTCAGAGACCCAGCTTAAAAAAGTAATTAGCAAGCATGTAAGGAGCCTAGCTAATAAGGAGAGCTAAGTTAATATTGGAATACGGCTGGGTTTTTCGAGGCTAGCACGCTGTATATAGCTGGTAGTCAATATCAACTGCACTCGTTCCCTCTGGCTGGATGAAGTCTGACACTCCCAACTTTAGCATGATGATAGAGAAATATAGAAATTAATGGCAATAAAGCATGCTGTCAATATTTTAGAGACCCCCAAAATATCACAAATCATGCTCTTAGGTGAGCTAACGTCGTTGTGGTGGCAGCCCGGCTGACGGTGAGTGTCCTGGCCTTTTCTCCTTTTTGTTTGTGATTCTGTTTTTTCCCTGGTTTTCCCTGTCCAGCCTGCATCCCTGTGTCTCCTCCCCTGTGAGTTCCTTCTCTCTCTCTCTCCCTCTGCTCCTGAGCCCAGCCAACAACCTGCACCTGCACCTCGTCAGCCACCTCCTCTGCCTGCCACACCTGCCAGCAATCAGCCTCATCTCCAACAGTTCTACCCCGGTTCTCCCCTGCTTGATCGTCGTTGCTCCAAACCCGGTGCCACTCGAACACTCAAGCTCTCGCACACATCCAGCATCTTGCTTATTTCCCTGTACCTTGTCCGCGCAGTGTCTCCCCAGATAGCAAACTGACTCCGCACGGGAGGTATCACAGGGTCCGGAACGGATCCGCAAAACGGGTCCGTATCGGAGTCCACTTGCACAGCGGGCCAGATCCGGAACAGATCTGGCCCATACCCTACCTGGATCCGATCCGGACCCGTTCACAAAGTGGCACATCCGGTCGGATCCAATCCGGACCCGTTCAGGAAGTGGCTTATCCGGCCCGGATCCGATCCAGACCCGTTCATGAAATGGCACATCCGGTCGGATCCAATCCGGATCCGTTAATTAATTGGCTCATCCTGCCCCGATCCGATTTGGATCTGTTCATAAAGTGGCTCATCTGGCCAAAACTGGCTAGGGAAATATCTAAAATCTAGCTGACCAACATCTACTGTTCTGTATAAAAGCTTAAATACTTCTTATAACCTTTAAGCCACCCTGCGTTTTTTTAGTTAAATGCTTTTACCGTGAATAAGCAGAAAATAGGAAAATTGACTTTGTATTAGTGACTTAATACAGCTCTGCTACGGCCGTAAGAGAGCCATCAGTTATCAGCGATGCTACTGTCAGATAAAATCACTGGGGATCCTAAATGCATTGTTTCGTTACACAGTTTTTATCCAAAGGTGGACTGCCAGTAAAAACTAAATCCTCTATCAGTCAAAAAACGTCTTTACAGATTGTAAATACATTGAATACTACAGGTGAAACTCGAAAAATTAGCATATCGTGCAAAGGTTCATTTATTTCAGTAATTCAACTTAAAAGGTGAAACTAATATTATATAGACTCATTACATGTAAAGTGAGATATTTCAAGCCTTTATTTGATATAATTTTGATGATTATGGCTTACAGCTTATGAAAACCCCAAATTCAAAATCTCAGATTAGAATATTGTGAAAAGGTTCAGTATTGTAGGCTCAAAGTGTCACACTCTAATCAGCTAATTAATCCAAAACACCTGCAAAGGGTTCCTGAGCCTTTAATTGGTCTCTCGGTCTTGGTCAGTAGAATTCACTTTATATGTTATTCACAGTAGTTTATTCTAAACAAAAAACAAATTATAACAAGTGGTTATGTAATTAACTATATATTGGCCACGACCTGGAACCAGCAGACACATCAGGAAAGCACTTCAGCTTTTGTACACATTAAACAAACAAGGTATTTTCTGGAGATTAAGACAGTGTTCAGACCGAAAACAGCACTGCGTTCAAAAAACTTGGTGGAGGCATGTCCTCATGTGCCGATTAGACCATGAAATATCACCCAGGAAGGCTGGTTGGAGTAAAAGATCCATGCGTTTTAAGGCTTGTTAGATGTCAAAACACTGTATAACTGTTTATAATATTATGAGAAACTATATAACAACTCTGGAAAGTAAGGCACCAAAAGTTATTTTATCTTGCTTCACAACAAAAATCATAATTTAACAGTCAAGTTTCAGAGTCTACCAGAAATGTGTATTAGTAGTAGTAATGTGTATCTTGGCAATTCAGTTCTTTGCCAGATGCTGTGTTGTGTTGTCAATTTTTTAGCCAACAGACCCTGCAATGTTTTCTGAAACCCCCTGCGTCGATTAATAAGCATGGTTGTGTTTATTTAAAGTAGTGCTAATGCCAGTTTGAACACTTTGTAAGCCTGCTGTGTGAATTCAGATTGTTTTAAATATATATTACAATTACTTACACAGGAGCAACATCTCCAATGCCATCTGGCATAGAGTGTTGCATAGTGATCCCTTTCCAATTTATCCTCTTCCCAACATCGTCATGGAACATGTGGGCAAGGATGTACCACCTGGAACATTTTCTGTTGTGGCCCCTCTGGCTTCCAGGAAGAAAATCTAAAATGAAAATTAAAAAAATACAAAAACTATCAATTATTTTTTTATCATGTAACCAGGTGTTAATTAGATTTTTTTTTCTTTATTCCCAAGACCTTGGTAAGAAGTATGTATATATTCGTGTATGTATATAGTTTGCGGCTGTGGCTCAGGAGGTAGAGCGGGTTGGCCGTTAATCGTAAGGTCGGCAGTTCAATCCCTGGCTCTCCCTGGTTGCGTGTCGAAGTGTCCTTGGGCAAGATACTGAACCCCGAATTGCCCCTGGTGGCTGTTCCGCCAGTGTATGAGTGAGTATGAATGTTTATGATGATTATGGTTTACAGCTTATGAAAACCCCAAATTCAAAATCTCAGATTAGAATATTGTGAAAAGGTTCAGTATTGTAGGCTCAAAGTGTCACACTCTAATCAGCTAATTAATCCAAAACACCTTCCGCCAGTGTATGAGTGAGTGTGAATGTTTATGATGATTATGGCTTACAGCTTATGAAAACCCCAAATTCAAAATCTCAGAATGAATGTTAGTGTCTCAGAGTGAATGTTAGTTTCTGTTTGAGCACTTAGGCTCAGTGTATGACTGGTGAATGCAGATGTAGTGTAAAAGCGCTTTGAGTAGTCGAAAAGACTGGAAAGGCGCTATACAAATACGGAGCATTTACATTTACATTCCAACAACTTCAACAGAATGAGACATCCTCTACTAAAACCATCAGCTGATCCACAGTTTCAGTAGATAATAAATAAAATACTAACAAAACATATATAATACAGTGTTTCCCACACATAAGCCCAGGTAGATTAACAGCCAAGTAAATTTGGTGACCCCTTTTTAAATCGTTTTTGATAGCAGCGCTGCGCAGCGCAGATTCATACATCCTCTCACTCGGTCGCTCTCTCTCTCTCTCTCTCTCTCAAACAAGACAACAGACTCGTTTGTGAATTGAATGGTTGGCATCTGTCCAACACAACGCTGTCAGTGTCGGAGACCCATCTTTAAAACAGTTATTAGCAAGCATGTAAGGAGCCCAGCTAATAAGGAGAGCCAAGTTAATTTTGGAAAACAGCTGTTGAAGTTAGCATGCTATAACTGGTAGTCAACAGGTGCGTTTGAGATAACTGGCTGACTTTCGCCGACTTCATAGATAGGGGAATAAAAACAGCGGCGTCATGTCAGACACAATCTACCTCTGGTAGACTGCGTGAGCAGGACTTGCTCCTACAAGGTCTAGTGATGTTTTGCAGCGCAGGTGTTGTGCTGAATTCTGCCTGCCTGCCGTGAATTGCATTCACCTCGCGGGAGGTAGCGCTCATTCATACTGAGAAAAGAGGTGGATGCAAATCTCGGCAGGTAACGTTAGCCTACAACATCCGTGTTGCCGAATTATGCATTCACTTAGTAAGGTCCTTTTCAGACACTTTGCTGTTCACATTGTTTGAAGGTGGTTAACGCCACGTTTTTCAAGAAATGGTAACCTACTTTTACGAAGTGTAATAATATGTTAACGATTCTTAAAGTCCATAAAATATATGCTGATCAGTTATCACTATTGATAAACCCCACAAAGAATAGTAGAGAAAGAGAAAAAATAGAGAAAGCCTCATTCTGTTGGAGTTATTGGAGCTACATTAACACTCAGTCCCCTGAGTTGGTCAACTTAATCATTGAATAAACGCTTGTTAGCAACAACTGATATGACTTGATCTTTCTCATTTAAAACAGCGACATGGTCGGCTAAAAGGGGGATAGCACTATCTGAATGTTTTGTAATGTTACACTCATCCAGAGATGTTTAGAGCTTATAAGGACATTGACTGTGCTATCATGGCTTGCACTTAAAATGCTTAAATTTTAGAGCCTTTCCTTTCTTACATCAAAGAAAAAAAATGTTCATTTATTGAAATCAATAAATAAGTGGACCATTGTCAGTATTTGACAAAATACTAATTTAGTCAGCTAAATTACGTCTAATACTGTATTACTTACTTTACACCGGTGACAGGAAAGGGTGAGAAGCAGGCAGTCCCCAAATCAGACTGGCGCCACTTGTGAATGAGCTGTATGCTGCAGCAAAGCATAATGCAAACAAGTTAGATGCCACACGGAATTAAATTTAAGACCAATTTTACAATAACCAGAGTTGAAGAAAAGAAAAATGCCAAATGAGAAAAAAACACTATCTGACATCAAAGCTGCTAACATTACTTGGTGTTTAGGGATTCTTGTTGATGAGAAATGTTGATTTAATAATCTTAAAGACTGCAGATGCACAGTGTGTCTTTCAATGTGAGTAAACTTCCCGCGGATGACATTTCCGATGTAAAACTGCGAATTTATGTCTATAAATCCTCTTAAAGGTTAACTGTTAGTTAACTTAACCTGCCTGAGAAATAATCACACACATCACATCACATCAGTTTTCTTCAGTAATAAAGTCATCAGGCGATAATTGTCTGTACAACCACCTTTCCATTGCAAACTGTAAGGTCAACTGCTAAGTTTATAACATTGGCTTTTTCGGCATACTTTTTAATGGCATCAATTTAACAACATATTATAAAATATCAGCTAAAAACGGACTCAAAAGAGTAACGTTAATGGTTAAGTTATACTAGAAGCTGCTATCGAAGTTAGGCTATCAGATTAGCTTAGCTTGTTACTACTAGAGGGGTGAATTATACTTATAAATATGCCTTCATGACTGTCTTAAAATGACTGACCACTGCAGTTAACTGATGTTAAAATCACTCCTCTCACAGACAGAAACATCTCATCCAAATCGGGCTTTGTTAACTTTTAACTCATATAACGTTAAGTTAGTTAGCTAACGTTAGCTTAACATTAATGCTAAGGTGCTGTAACACGAGCTAACTTAGCTTAGCTTGCCATAATCGGATATTGTCTGAAATAAAACGGCAACCAAAGCAACATTATCTATGACCGGTGAAGTTATTAATTTTACCGGCTAGGCAAGTGTACAAACAAATCATATTTTGACAGCACAGTTTAACGTTACTTACCGTGTCCGTGTCCTCCGAGAGAGCTGCCGATTCCCACCGCAAGCGCCCTGCTGAGACTAACGGTCTGTGAGACTAACGGTCTGTGAGACTAACGGTCTGTGAGACTAACGGTCAGCAACGGCTGAGTATTTTTAAAACAGGCGCGTTCGATGTGCGAATCCGCCCGGTGTCGTGCCGAAAAGTGATCGTCTGATCGTCTCTTTCTGGCAAGTGAAATACTGCATTTTATGAGTTGTATTGGCCATTTAAGAGGTATTTTAAGACGTAAAAAGTACTAGGTTAGCTATAATCTTTCAAATATAACTCTTCTGAATGAAGTCGACTAATTTCAGGGCAGAAATAAACTTTCAGTCAGTAACGAAAGGCTTCAATCATTTTCTGGCAAGTGAAATACTGCATTTTATGAGTTGTATTGGCCATTTAAGAGGTATTTTAAGACGTAAAAAGTACTAGGTTAGCTATAATCTTTCAAATATAACTCTTCTGAATGAAGTCAACTAATTTCAGGGCAGAAATAAACTTTCAGTCAGTAACGAAAGGCTTCAATCATTTTCTGGCAAGTGAAATTCTGCATTTTATGAGTTGTATTGGCCATTTAAGAGGTATTTTAAGACGTAAAAAGTACTAGGTTAGCTATAATCTTTCAAATATAACTCTTCTGAATGAAGTCAACTAATTTCAGGGCAGAAATAAACTTTCAGTCAGTAACGAAAGGCTTCAATCATTTTCTGGCAAGTGAAATACTGCATTTTATGAGTTGTATTGGCCATTTAAGAGGTATTTTAATGCTTGCCTTTGGTGTGGGAGACCTGGGTTCGATTCCCACTGTGAGACATCCACCATTGTGTCCCTGAGCCAGACACTTAACCCCTTTTTGCTCCAGAGGCGTGTGACCTCTGACATGTACGGCAATTGTAAGTCGCTTTGGATAAAAGCGTCAGCTAAATGTAATCATCTCTTCCTCGGCCCCCAGTGTCCCCCGGCTCTCTGGTCTCAGTCTCCTCGGTTCCCCGTGCCTGCGTTTCCACGGCATTCACCTGTCCCTCCACCCCCCCTTTTCCCAATAAAACCAGTTAAAACTGAGCATTGCATTTGGGTCCACTCTGTCCCCACACCACACCCGTAACACATGTCTTATTAAGGGGAGCTAAGCTCCAAAGCTCCTGCTCCCCCATAGTTCCCAACCAGGATCTACAGGAGAAAATATTATATTTATATTTTGAATTGTCACCTGCCAACTGAATTTTGTGTTTCCCTTTTTATAATAAGACATTTCCACCATAAATTGGAACAGAAATTTTCACCAGAATTCAGGAAATTAAGTGTTTAATGCTCAAAATCTGTATTCACTTTTTAGTTAAATATAAATATTTTTCACAAGGCTTTTTTGTTACCTGGGAAAGAAACTAATCAGTTGTTTGTCATTCAATTGTGTTTTCCCATGTTTTTAATAACAATAGTAACAACAACAATACATAAAAAAAAAAAAAAGAACAATATTCAGGGCAAATGGCCAACATGTTTTTTGATGGGGGCTGGTAAGGGACCTGGATAATGGATAGGTTGAGAACCACTGCTCTGAGGTAATAAAAACATAATGGTTTATTATGTAAAGTCTTTACAAACCACTGACCACACAGTTATGGGTCTTATATTGCATTTCTCTCGATAGATCCTCAGAAATATTACACACTGAACCTTTAACCAAGTACTTTTGTTACATAAACCTAACCAGTTTGCAACATTTCACATTTCAAAATGGCGGTGTTTGGAAACGCTAGTGTTTTATTTTCAAAGTCTAACCAGACGTTGTATATTTGTTGTTGCTAAGCGTTGCTAACTTGACGCAGAGCCTTAAACGTCTAAAAGTGACGCCAAAGGGCCTTGACCAAGCGTCAATATGTGAAAAGTCTGGAGTGAAAAGTGTTGTCATGTGATCCACTGGTACCCATGAGTAGCTCTGACCAAAGCTCTAATGAGCCTGAATTAGGTCAAACCCATAACATACTATTAAATATTAAATATAAGCTCTGTGTGGGTGCCGCCAACCTTTTTAAAGCTAATAAAAGTGATGTGGAACCAATTAAAACCATCCACACTTTTTCTGAGGCTGCTTCGTCTCGACCGAGGGCAGGCAACATTTAGTTTGCACCGTTAATTTATTTTATTGTTTGTGTCACGCTCGTTCAATTTAACTTCCTCCACCCACACCTAAAATGTCCTTGCACAAGCCCCCAAGTTACACTAATACATATATTAATATATTATGATTTAAATTCAGATTCAGAGACCTTCTCTACTTCAACAAGAATAAAAATCCTAGAGAAACATATTTGTCATTTTTGTGGGAACTTTTGGCAGAAAACCAGTCGAAGATAATGGCTAAGATAACAAAAATACTGGCGTTGGCATTCAGAAAGTAATTTTGGTGGAATCCTGATACGGATGGCTGGTGGAGACAGATAGACAGAAAGTCCCTTTAGATTAGCAGAGGGAAGCATGAAGAGGAGGTCTAGCAGAGGGTATAATGAGCTGCAGGTCAGCTCACAGTCACAGTTCTTCACCGAGGGGAAATCAGGAAAGAGCGGGAATGAGCTGGGGTGTTGGCTGCAAACACACACAGACACAAGCTGAATACGGTTATAGTGTGTTGACAGGCCAACAGACAGAGAGATGGACTGATATTCATGCATACACACAGCTCCTCTGCAGCTTACAGAAGTCAGCGGCTGGTCACAGAGAGGATTAACAAGCCGCCTGACAGCCATCGCTCTGTTTCTCTTTTTTAATCTCATTCTCTTTATAAACATTCAGGTTCGCCAGCTGTTTCTGAGAGTAACCACTCCTCACAAAATGTCTTAATCTTAAAGCTGCATTAGCCGTTTCTTTGGCCATCAGCTGGCAGAAGAACTGCAGACAAATAAACCTATTATCACCCGGGAACTAATCCACCGTACTTTTCAAAATCAAAATTTTGTACTAAAACCTCTCTTAACAAATTATTCTTTTGCTGTTTAACATTTTCTTTTTACTGTCCAACCACCATAATGGAGAGATGAGGAAAGAGGAGTTGATAAAAAAAGTTGATAATCTCACCTGAGTTGATTTCAGCCCCTACCATGTGCTCAGAGATTTACTGGCTTTTTTTGTCCTGAGTTTTGTCTCTCAGGCTACATACAGACTGCTCTATCTTAGTGGTTGAGGTGTTTGGGTCTACGTGCAGCCAAAAAGAAGGACACACAGATCCTATCCTTTTTTACACTCAATATTCTCCTAAAAAATCGTAATATTTGCTCTCCTTTTTAGCTATGGTTTAGTCTCCACCATAAAAATATCTCATGCGAAATGCTTCACCGTGTTCACAACCTGTTCTCTAAATGGGTCGATGACTTTCCTCTCTCAGTAGCAAAGGGAGAGTAAGTGTGAGATTATAATGGCGTCATTTTGCTTCAAACAAAGTGTTTGTCAGATCGTCAAACAGTGCCGGAAACCTGCGCACCTTTGTGACGTCAGAATCGACGTGTGACGTCGTTTTAACTTTCCAAAACCAAGAATCACATCCACTTTGGGAAGGTGAGCAAGATGGCAGGATTTCAACTATTTCTTCTCTTTTTTTTTCATTCTTCATACAACTACCACATCATATTTTGTGTTTACAAATGAGCGCAGCACCGTGAAATAATAAATTTCCGCTGTAGCAGCAGAACACATTACAGCTGCTGGCAGGTTAAGCTACGCATCCTAAACACTTAGAGCTGATCAACTCTATGACAGTTTCAATTCAATTTTATTTATACAGCAGAAGTTATCTAATTGCACTTTTAATAGAGCAAGTCTAGACTCTGTAATATTACTAACAGAGCCTCACCTGGTTGGGGAGGGTTTAGTGGGGGAGCCACAAACTTCACACACAGACAAAAAAAGTTGCCAGCGTGGCCCTTATCCACAACTATACAATTCATTGTGTTTTGACCTATGTTTTCTGTGTACCTGGCTTTCGTTCATTGTTTCAGGAAGCTCCTCCTGTCCAATATGTGGCACCTGATCTACCTACGAAAGGTCCTTACTCCACATTCCTTATTCAGCCAGCAGACTCTGCAGCTCTGATACACCACTTTGTTTATGCTTAATAAAGTTAAACCCGGTTTACACAACTTTGTTTCTTTCGTCATGTTGCTTCTCTTCAGCCAGCGTTGTAACAACTGTGTGGAGACAACAGAGGCAGAGTTGTTGGAGAGGAAGCTAAAGGGAGGCTGTGACTTCACCTTGTTCTTCAGCATGGACGGGTGGAAATGCTTTTTAATTGAGATGTGGTACTTTTTGTTGACATGTGGTACAAACTAGTGCTTAACTTTTCTGCTGCAAGTAGTGTTAACAGTCAGACCAAACTCTGCACCTGAAATTTACTGGCTGCAGTTTATATGCTTATGCTTAACCAGACCGGATAATGCAGAAAGGTTTCAGAAGACTTTAGAACTTAGATATTTCGTCAGTCTCTAACTTGGACATCATGTGGTTCATTCAGCTTCCGGTGTCATGTAGTTTGAGGCTTGGCACAGCAGCTGCTCCGTCACTTAATCCAACCTCTATCCAGAGGTCCAGAGGAGCGAACTGATTGTAAAAACGTCTGCATCGACACGCCACACACCTCTGTCAGCAATCCATCCTGAGGGAATTTGCATAAATGTCATTTATGGCCAAAATAAACAACTTACCTCTTCTCAGACACCTCCCCCCTGCATGCACCCATCCAGACACTTAATTGGAAAAACACAACCAGGAGGAAACTGCTGAGCGTGGAATTGATTTGCAGGTTATTTTCACTGCAAACTGCGGTTCATATTACTTATTTATTTATTTATTTATTTATTGTGATGGCTGCTGAGAGTGAGAGGCGGCATCATGCCCAACAAGGCGACCAACAATAGTGAAGATGGATTTAGAGTATTTAAACTAAAGTAAGTTAAGTAAAGCACTATTAGCAGTGAATGAACTCTTAAGTACTAATACTCAAGAAGACTTTGTCATTGAGACACAGACTCAATTGATTGATTCAGGTGT